AGAAAAGAAAAAGGATCCAGGGGATATAGACTACGCAAAATTCTAAAACCCTATAAAAAAAGAAAGAAGAAGAAGGTTTGTTATACTTAAATGCTCGGTAATTAGGCTAACTGGTATTGTGTAAAGTTCTGAGTAATTTCCGTACTGCTATTTAGAAGTCAAGATCTCTGGAATTATTATTTGGCATTTGTCAGTAGACAGTAGATTTGTCACCCAAAGGGGCTTTCAAAACAAAACTTACCTTTTCGTACACGAAAGTTGTAATTTTTTGTGGGAGGCCAACAGGTATTATCCCAGTGCAGTGATGGTGCTCTGTTAAGCAGGCACTGTGGTCTCCATGCATGTTGCAATGGCCAACAAACTTCAACCATGTCTGGCAAGATATACCTAACTAAATCCCCATTTGACAGCAAGTCTAAGGAATACGTCCAGGAACATTTCAAGCTCTGCTGGACCTTGTTCTCCACCAAAAGCCATTAAACTTCCACCACATATATTTCAGTAATACAGAGACTGAACTAGTACCTTATTTGAAGATTAAAAGCCATGGTGGACTGTAGACTCTGACTGCAGAATATACATTGAGTAATGGTTTTCAACTTTCAAGTAGGCATCTTTTAAAAGGAAAATAATATATGCAAACAACAGAGCAAATAAATCTGAAAACTTATCATCTGTGTACTTCCATCGCATACGCAAGTGTCAGAGAGACTAAAGTTTGTTCAACCTTGAAGATTTACAAATGCTATTGTGCCAGAATACAAGAGGTTACATTAAGTTTTAAATATGATCTTGATGTTGTCAGCCCCTTGGTCCTCAGCCCTCGCCTCAACTAATTTTGCATGGTCTTTTGTTCTCCCCTTTACTTTTCCTTCTTTTCTTCATCCCTTTTTTCTGTCCACTTCTAAGGTGTGAGTCATGCTAAAAGGATGAAAGGCTGGTTCTGCGTCAGTCCTAAACATCCTTTGGAAGCCATGGGCACGGTATTCCCTCGGTTAATCATCTAGCCAATACTCCTTATGGGAACCCTGTGGAGTAGACTGTTTCTTTTCCCCATTTATTTCAGATTCAACATAGCCAATAATGAAGATTTTTAACCATTAGTAGGCTTGGCTCTTCAACTAACCCATCTAAATTCTTCTTCATTGTCCAAAACTCCCCCATTATTACTACTCTTCATCCTCTTCACGGAAGTACAGTGCTACACTATTCCTCCCAGAGGCCAGTGTAAGTCCTACTCCAATATTGCCAAGATTAGCTTCTGTAGACATGGTCTCCCCCATGAAGTTTATATTGGTGGATTTTCCTGCCATGTCCGACCATATCATACTCTAACCCCTTCCCTGTCAGTGTCAGTAATGTTAGATTTTTGGTCACCCAGCCAAACACTGTCGCTCCACAGCCTGCTGCCCTCTATGTGCCCAACCTGATCATTACCATTCAAATTGCTGTGCTCATTCACATGCATGTGCCAGTTGTGGTGGCTCCCATAATGTAGTTTATAGGAGCTGCCATGCCTACAAGCTTGAATTTGAGGTGGCAATTCTCAGATTCAGACTAGGCCTCACTCTGCATGAGGCCAGGCAGAAAGCATGCTGATGAGGTTTTTCTCTCTCTACCCCTTCTAAAACTGTTCTTTACTCTGCTCTCCTCCCATCTTCTCAAGATGTTTCAGCTACTCTGACAGTATTTCTTCCCTCTACCCTAAACCATCTTATCTCTACCCCAGTTAGATTCCTTTTCCAGTCTAAAACCAGATACTCCAGTCCCTACCACTTCCCCAATGCCTAGCCCTCCACCTTCTCACTCTACCTGTTGCACCAGGCAATCTAAACATTTCACCCCATCTTCTACCACATCCTCTCCTCCCCCCTCCTCTTCCTCTTTTCAAGAAAACCTTTTTTCTCAGACCCCACCACCCAACTCTTGAAGACATCCAAAACTTCCTAGACATGACCTAAGAGAATGCTTCACTCCCTCATCCATCCTCCAATCCCTCTACTCCTGTTCCCCCCTGCATTGAAAGTGTTTACTGATATCCATCCTCCTCTTCCTCAAGTTCCTCCTACCCCTCTTCCTCCCACTTTTCCCCCAAAACACCCCATCCTTTCCTTCTCCATGTGCATCACTATTCCCTCTTTTTTCCCCAGTATCCTTACTACCACCTGGCTGGTCACATGATTCCCTCATGTTGCAACAGTATCCTTCTCTGGATCCTTCCCCTCCTGATGTTCTTCCTGATATTTCGTCACCCTGTTCCCTGTTTCTTTATGGCTGTTGCAGTTTTCCTCAGTGTTACTCTCCCTTCCTCAGACACACACATACTCTCCATTTGATCTAATCCCCCTATAACCGTAACCCCTTCCCCTTTACAAATGCATTATGGCTGTTGCAGTTTTCCTCAGACACACAGATACTCTCCATTTGATCTAATCCCCATATACCCTTAACTCCTTCCCCTTTTCAAATCCACTCCTTATTCCATTTGCTCTCCATTTTT